AAAAGAAGGGAACAGGCAAGTTTAGCACTGATACACAGTGAGGGCATACCTCGACTATATTAAGATAAGTTCTGCTTTAATCAAAAATGTCTTTTAGGGATAAGATTACTATTTGCATTTTTTTTCTTCTTAGGCCATGTTGATTTGATTATATGGATGACATCCGCGCGCGCATGAATTTTCGGCCGTTTAAAATAAAAAAGGTTTCAACCATACTGTAAATCGTGCAAAACAGTTGCTAAATGAGCAAAAATATACCATAAGTTGCAAGGAAAACATTTAGAAACGATACCAATGTCGTAGAATGCCAAAATCAAAGGAAAAAAGACAAAAATGTAAAGAAATTAATTCGAAGAGTAGATTATTCGCCATAACATATTCTGTGCCATTTGTTCAACCTTCATGACCACGTAGATTTCATAGTGAAAGCAACTTTTTTTTTTGCAAAACTTTTTTTTTATTCGCACGCGCGCATCAGTTTTGGGGTTCCCAGAGGATGTCATCCATATAATCAAATCAACATGGCCTAAACATCTAAAACGTAATTTGTGAAAATAGATATACGTCATACTTGATAGAGAGTTCTGAAAAATACGTTTCGTCTGCATGTGTAGAGGTATAACTTAGATTAGCAAGGCCTTGAACACGTCAATTTTTTTTACAGCCATGAATTCTAGCCTGGAATTTTTACAGATTTCGCTAGGAGTCGTAAGTGTCGTACGGTGGCTTGAAATGTCGATTGACTTGTTGCTGCAGGTTATACATACACCGCTAGGTGGACAATAGAACTACCGACGGAAGAAGGAAACTCATATTATAGCAATTCAATAATTTTATTTTCACTATTTGACTAAAGCTATTGACTGTATATTATTCATTTATTCTTATTATTCATTTATTCATTCATCATTATTGGGTGGCTCTAGATCAATTACAAAATCACATACATCGAATAAACATGAAAATACGCAGACATAAATGTCAAGATACGTTTGCCTGATTTAGAAGATAAAATTAAGCAAAATGCTGTTGAAATAAATTATAAAATTCATTACTTCGTATTTACTGTTGATTAGAAGAGGATAGAAAAGTTAAGCCACCGATAATGACTTAAATTGTGTGAATAACAGACTTTAGGAAGCGCATTTTGCTGGCATTTATGTATGTATTTGGGTCGGCGCCAAGTTATTAGTGTTATCTAAGGCGACCCACCGTCACCTCTTCCGTCAAAGCAACTTATTGAATTTTTGCTTAGACACGTTGATTGCATTGTCTGCTGCTCAAGGAATATTTAATTCAAAGATCACGGTGTACAATTTCTGAAAGTCGCTTACGTGTAACTTGTAACGGTGGATACTTTTGTAAGAAGTTGAAAGTGAGTAGGAATCTTCTGTGTAATTCTATCTAAAAGGAAAATAAAAGGAGGAAGCTGGCATTGGAATAAGAAGAGAAATTGCTACCCCCCTTCGGGCCCCTACCCGTAGGCCGTTTCTGGTCCCTGTCAATACCGATAAATTCTAGGTCAGAAAGACCATCCTTCATAAAGATCAAACTGTTCCGACGGTAATATTTCTCTTAAAACGCGTCAAAAAGTCTCACGACCTTCCTCCTTGGTCTTGTGTTAGATGTTACGATCGGAACGCGGGTGAGAATAAGGCTGTGTGATCTGGTCGGCTCGGAAGGCGCGTCCAGGGGTAATCTGGAGAGATATCGGGTTGATCCGGCTGCGGTAACTCCGTACATGAAGGACAAATGGGCATTTCACCACGGCTGATATCTATTGATTTTATGAAAATAAGTAATGCGACCGAGTACTTACTGGTAAAAGCGTATTTTCACTTCATCGTAATTGCAAAGGACCAGAGTACGGGATATAAAACAATAGATAGAGAAACCATGTTCCACCTTTGTTTCCGTAACAAAATACAGAAACGTTATTCGGTATAAGCGGCTGATATCTATTGATTTTATGAAAATAAGTAATGCGGCCGAGTATTGATTGGCCATGGGGAAAGCATTATACCATGATGACAACGGACCAGAGTGCGTGATATAAAACAATAGAAAAAGAAACAATGTATCACCTTTGCGTTCTTAAAAAAATACAGAAAAGTTATTTGGTATAAGCATGGATATTACCTGATGAATACAATGTTGATCCAAACACGTTTCTCTCTAGGGATTCAAAATCCGTTATCTTCCAAACTCCTGCTAGCTTTAGCTGTAAATTGCTGCTAATTCAACTGTCAGTTCGTTAATCTTGTACTGATTATGAGGATAATCTATTTTTCACCTTGACGATTGTTTGAGCAGGCAATTAATTTTTTTGAAAATGTGCATTGTTGCCAAATTCTTGTGACCGTGTAACGTTTTGAGAAATACATAATTCATACTTTGAGCATATTCACAATTCTGCATAATGCATGAATGCAGACACTGTAAGTAATAACGTATCTTTGGCGTCATTTTATTAATAAGGTGCAGACCTCTTTGAAAACAGCAAAAAGACTTGAAATTAAAGTTGCCTCTTCAAGGGGGTGATCTTTAACCTCTGCTCCTGGCTGAGCCCACGTCTTCCCGTGTAGAGAAATATCAGGTGACGGCGGGTCGGCTTTACTCATGTTTACATTCAGTCCGACAGGCTCCGATGCACTTAGCGCAATCGGTATAACTTTTGCCTTATGTAAGTCGACAGTCTGGAGTTAGAGTTGAGTGCACGGAGGAAGGGAGGTCTCTGAACGTCAGAAACGATGTGAGTACACGTGAGTAGGGGAAAATGAGACTGCGAGCAGCAAGAGAAACTTTGAGAACAGTTGTGAAAGCGCACAAGCACGTGCAGTCACATTGGGATTGCGTTAAGTAGCTGACAGCAGTACCTGTCCTTGGTGCTGAACACCGCACATACACATACATTGGCACACACACACACACACATACACATACACACACACGTACACACACACACACACACGCACGCACGCACACACACACACACACACACACACACCGGACCTTTCTAAACTTTATAGGCAGTACATAGCATTTTGTCTAAGTTTCGACTATAAAGTGCCATTTGCTTACAAAAGCGTGCAATTTCATCAGAATTAAGGTCATATGATAAGAAAAAAAATTAGGTCAATGTGATTGCTTCCAATATACAGTAGAGATAATATGATAGGACTAGATCGTGTTGAAAGGCCTATATATGGCTTTTAAAAATACATTAGCAGCCTTTTCTAAGGCGCTAATAGCTAATAGAATTGTGTTTACCTTACTAAATAGTCTCTTTGTAAGTGAGTCAAATCTGTCACAGGACACAATTCTTGAGACATTTCTGATTAGTTTGAAAACAGGACTGAGACTAAACGTTATTTTGCAGTCATATATCGTAGCGCACCTGTGACTTATCTAGTTTTTTTATTCCTTCGACTCTGTCATTCAAGTGTCCTTTTTATTAGGAGGCCTCTGCCGCCACATTCCGGTCTTTTATTCCCCTGCTTTGATGTGACGTGGTCAATGGACCCACACTTAAGTGCGCAGAGGCCAATAACAGCATTCAACTACGTAGCTGTAAAAACAGTTACTCAAGCAACTGGATATGATTCTGGCATCCACTACCTTTCGTCAGTGACACTAAGAGACTGCAGGAGAAATGCATGCAGGTTTATAAGCACAAACTATTGATTGATATGCAAAAATTGATATGCAAAAATGAAATATATAAACCTGCATTTTTCTTGCAGTCTCTTAGTGTCACTGACAAAAGGTAGTGGATACTACCTGAAACTTCTGACCGTTTCCAAAATCATATCCAGTTGCTTGAGTAACTGCTTTTTGGCGTATCTTATTACCTGGATGTCTAACCTTCACTGACTTACGTAGCTGTATAACCACCAAGCCTATCCTAGATGTTCACTATAGGGATGTAGGGTGAAAAACCTTGTTTCCCCAAAAGAACACGAGGCCCCATTTTAATGAGTGAAGGGGTTTCCCGGTTAATTAATGTTTAACCGTACTGGAATCAGGTGCCTTAGTCCCCTTTGGTGGTTTATACTCGTAACCACGCCCACCTAATGCATTTATTGTACAGGTTTCACCTCCTGTGATATGAGTTATAGAGTTTTTGCACGTGACATTACACCCACCAGTCTGGTCGTCTGGACATGGGAGTCACACCTATAAATCTCCCACATGCATTTGTCATAATCACACATGTATTTGGCTGTAATTACATATAAAACTGTCATGGACCTGGCGACATACGGGTTTAACCCCCCAATATGGCGACAAAATGCTGACGTCATTGTCACATGGGTGCAAAAACAATTTTAGTTGCTGATGCTCACGCCATAACTTCTCTCTATTAGTTGTTTTCAATGTATATCCCTTTGCCATATGGCATTTTAATAGATTTTGATTACATATATGTTTTACGTGTACAACCTTACCCAGA